CCCCCCCGAAAAAAAAGCAAAGGGGCTGTAAGGACAAAGCTGGCCTTGTGCTCTAATGTGAGTTTTGTGACACTTTTCAGACCCAGCTACTTTGGTTCCCATCTCTCAGCACAAGGTGTGACTCCGTGGCAGTCCTGTGCTACCGGAGCGCGGGTTAGTCTGCAGCTCTCTTGTGATAACAGGGCCAGTGCGAGCGCCATCCCCTTACTAGCCTGTTCCTGCCCGTTTGTTGTCCTCTCTGGTAGATTGGGGTCTTTCTAGGTGCAAAGCATCGGGCAGCAAATCTTTCAAAGTTCCCTTTCAAAAGGGATGAAAATGCTTTCATGTTGTTCTCTGTATTTAGACTGTGGCGCATGAGCTGCCTGCTCACTTTGTCTCCAAACTTGTGTTACTTGTTTACTGTGGATTCTCTTCAGACCATGTCATGTTTACCAGCCCTCTTCAAAAAGACTTCAAAGAACAGTACGGAAACGGTTCCTGGGAGGCCTAAGTCCAGCTTTGCTGGAACCTGTACAGACCCCAAAATACACAAGAGCTTATGCTTGTGTGGAGCTCCATCAAGTCCATTGCTGTGATGTGTATGAAAGAATAATAAGGATACTAAACTATGTGAAAGTCTAATGAGTGCAGAATAAAAGAGGATAAATTTATGCATAGAGTGATACAGCTTTAACGGACATGCTTTCACAGCCCTTTCCTCTGCCCCCAAATACAGAAAATTTGGTTTCATAGCACCATGTTCAATGTTAGACCTCCTTACCAGAAGTTCGGAACAATTGTTTAAAAGCTTTAGATAAACCTCAGTGTGCGCTGTCTTAAATTGTGTTTGAAAATCCCTACTCTCGCAAGCTCTCAAACACAATTCACTAGACACTGATCAACAAAGCATCTGGGACAGACAGGGAGTGGAGTCATGCGCTCTTGGCCTTTGAGCAGCAGAGTTTCAGATTCAGATTAATGAGGTCTGAATGCATGTAGGAAAATTGATTGTTACAAACAGCGTCTATGCTGCAGAGGTTGAGGGAGCCTCAGAAGTCACGAACACTTGCCAGGCCGCATGACCAGCCACTGTCCCACTCACAATGCTGGCACGAGCCAAGTGGTTACAAGGCTGGAAGTATCTACTCTTGGAATGTCCATTGGTGCACTTCAGCTCAGTCCTGCCCATACAGATATGCCTACGATAGTCATAAATGAGCCTGGGCCCTTGCTGAATCAGAGAGAGTTCATGGACTCGGCCTGACTTCACAGCCTGTGTCTGCGTGTGCATAAATGCACACGTTTGGATCTGAGAAGTAAGATGTTACTCAAATTATAGGTCAGCATATGTACATTAGTTCCACATCAGCTTGTAAGACTGAACACTGCTAAAGGTGGAGGAGAGGAAAATGGCACCTTGTAGTAAAACTTCTGTTAACATGTCGTAGCCTTTATTGATGTAAGATGCCAAGCAGCAAAGGCTGTTTCACAAATGTTCACAAACATTAGCATAAAGCATCCACTCACCCTTCATGTCTAACTTTTCCACCACTGGGCTCTATCAGTTTCCATTTGTGTGTCAGAAGATGAGCACCCTCAGTTATCCTTGGCTGCATCTGCAGTCTCCCGAGACTCAGCTGTTCGTGCTAGCCCCAGGTTCAGTGGATCACTGAAGTGGAGGAGAGCAGGATCTAATGTTCTTTAATTTCACTGGGCCAGGCCCAGAAAAACACTAAGGTCTCGGCTCTTGGTGAGGGGAAGGGGAATTGGTGGCACTCAGCATGACAAGGAATTCCAAATTCCTTATTTCCTTCTGTCCCCCAGAATAAACATTTTAAAATAAGCTCTTCTCCTTGCTGAAGCAGGTAGGAGAAGTACATTCCTAAGGCAAGCTTCCACAGAAATATTTGAAACAACAACAGCTATTGAGCCCCCATCACTTTCACACTTGTCTGGTGAAACCTTTTAAATGCCTCTCTCGATAAGGAATAAAATCTGAGTGACTCTTTGTTCTCGATCCAGAGTAGCAAATTGCTTTTATTTGTCAATAAACCTACGGCACTTTCAGTGCCTTTTGCTAAAGTGGAGCTGAAGCTTCAATCTGAAGACACGCCTCTAATTCCAGATTTAATCATGAGCGCTGTAGAAAGAGTCTTCTGTAAAACAAACAAAGCCCAGTTATGAGTGATTTTAAAGTTTCGGTTTTATGGCCTTCCTATGTCATTGCTCAGTTGAACTATATAAAAAAACACAATGCAAGTCAAATAATCTGTGTAATTACCATGGATTTACTTTTATTTCAAGGCTAGAGTCCTGTAATTCAAAACTAGACAAACCCCCCAATTCTCACTTTGGTGCTTTCTCTCTTTAATTTACCAGGAGAGGAAAGTTTTACAGGGAGAAGTAATACCTAATTTACTGAACCAAGTAGAAAAAGGAAAGATTGAGAATAACTGCTTTCAGTTTCACTTAATTAATTGGACTGAGGGGAAACAATACTGCTTAGGAACTGAAAAGCAGAGGCAGGGGGTAGCAAAGAGAGAAGTGCTAAGATTCACAGCCTGTCTGGGACAGGGTGAGGGAAGAGACTTACTGCCTGTGGATCAGCACAAGCTCAACTGGCGGTATTGTCTGGAATAATTATATCAATGCTTCTACTGAGTATGTAATTTTTACTATGGAGAAAAAATACTACTTCTTGTCTTCTGAAACTATTCTTTAAGCTTCCATTCAGTGTTGGAGCATACAGACGTGGGATAGAACATCTGTTCTGTGAAATCTTTTGTGTTGCTCTCTGCTTACAGCAGGGAAGGTACTGCACTGTCCACAGTAGCACAATTTGAGCAGCACAATACATGTTACTCTGAGTCAAGAGAGTGAAAATATACTGGCTCTGAAGCAATGCTTGCTTAATGCAACCTCATGGCAAACCACTGCGTGTGGAATCTAAAGAGCTTTGTGATATTCTGAGTACTAGCTTTTCAAGATGCACTTCTTCTGCAAAATATCCCTTTGTTCCTATTAACCCAATGTAGAATAATCCTGAATGATGAATTCTATTCTAAATTTCTGAAATTCTGCAGTACCTTTTTCTCCATAGCTTGATTTTTGTTTCATCCTAGCATTTTTCAAAGATGTCAAACGTAGACATTTGATCTAGAAAAACAAATAACAGTCATATCAGAGGTGAATTTAACATTATAGTCAAAATGCAGTCACATTCAGTAGGGAGGCAACTGGGTACCTTTGTTGGGATGGAAAATTATCTAGAGCTCCATCTCTGATGCAGCTGAGAGATAATCATACTATTTGTTTAGCAGGAACAATATTAGCCTTCAGCTAATAAGGACAATTGCTGAAGACTTTCCAGGCCTGGAGCTTAAAATTAATGGCTTGAGTCATGGTTATTATTTTCCTAAAACTCAAGCAGACTATAGGCAATGGATCTTGTTTGCGTAGATGTGAGCACAAATAGTAAATGGAATTAACAAATTCCACGCTTTATAGAGAGAGTGTACCTATGGCCAGCATTTCGAGAAGCTGTGGAATCCAGAAACGGGCACTGGGACCCCAGGCAGTGTGGAGCTATGTTGTGATTCTGTAGGTATGGTCCTTTGCATGTAGGAGGCAGAGTTCAATGTGTCACTTCTCACCTCATGTTTCCGAAGGGTTGGAAGTGGCAGAAGAATGTTGCAATGGGCACAGGTCACCAGCACATCAAAAGACTGGGTGTCTTTAAGATCTTGAGGTGATGTGGAAAGTCCACCTCTTGTGGGAGAGGGAAAGCCAGACTTTTTCTTCTTTGGGCGTTTAAGCAAAGTTTTGGAGGTCAGTGGCTGATCCCTTTCTTTTGCTTTGGGACGGACATCTTTCCACACCGTTGCATTCTCGGAGCAGGAAGAGGAAGCCAGGGAGGAAGACGACTGTGATGGATCGCTGATGAGTTCTGAAGTTGACTGGCCAGCAAGAACTTTTGTCAGCTTATGGGCTGCACTGCATTCATTCTGTTAAAAGAGAGTATGCATAATGAGGTGAAGAAAGATTGGCATTACACCCAACTGTGTGGTATGTTGCGATTTGCGACAGAGGTGAGTTATGGGGAGGGACAGTGGACACCACCTCACAGTGATGCTTCAGCTGCATACTGGCTGGAAATTAAGCACAGACCATTCTCTTGTTCATTTTCAAATGTGCTTACCAGATGTTGAGAGTACTGGTCGTCTGGGAATGACTTATTGCACTTCTGACAAAGATTGCCACCAGTACCTTCAGAAGGGAAAGAAAAAAAAGAAGAGAAACACATTACTGACACTAGTTATCTGGACAGGCTGCTCAGATCCACTTATGGTCACCGGTTCTAGAGAAACACAGAATGCCGATTCCACTGGCCAAGAAGGAATTAGAGCTGTGACTACATTTTGCTTTTGGCACCACTCAAAAACAATCCACCATCCCTTCTCGCAAACTTCAGGATATTTGAAGTTCCACTCCCATGTTTTGCTGCTCAAGATGCTTCATTCCTACCCTGGCCTAGCTAATTCTATTGCTAGGGGGTTTTGCTCTCTATAGTTTATTTTGCCAACAACTGCACCTACTGATGCCTGTTCTTTTCTGGAATCATTGACAGGATTCATGATTTTTTTGTCTTGACATACTCTGTCCAATACCATAGGCCTAATAAAGCTGCTCTCAACTTCAAGAAATAAAAGTATGCATCACTGTATTTTATATATGAAGTAGGAAGAAATTCTAAATCGTATTTTCTCCTGCACGACAAATTGAAAGAGGAAGAAGTTCCACTTATTTTCTGACAAAAGGAATTTCATTTCCAGGATATAAGGGAGGCATAAAAGAACATGGCCAATGAGCTACCACGCAGTGGAACCACTCTGGCTTTACAATAACCAATATAAGAGAAAGCAACACCTGGCCCTTTCACTGCAGTTGGTTAAACAGTCCCCTCCAGTCTGGATTACTGAGAATTGTGGAGAAGGTAGGAGAATTTTCATTGAGATTTAACAGAGTTGACCCAGTCCATTACAATGAGGAATTTTGCTTACCAGTGGGGCAAATAAATGTTGCATTAGTGGGTGCTTCACTGGTTTGAAAGTTCACATCCTTATGATAGGGCAGACCACTGTTCTGACAAATATCTTTGTGTTTTTTCTGGTCTTTGTACATGATGTATTTGTTACACTCCCAACACCGCTCTGTTCGGCTGGCACAGATGTTCAAGTGTTCCTGCAGCTTGTTGAAGGGCATTTCAAGCTCACAGATCTTGCATTTCATTGCTCGTTCGTGGCACTCCTTGGTCTGCACATGAATAGAGGAAATTATTGCAAATTTTCTATCAATACTAAAAGAGGGCACTGCGTGAGAGCAATGAGTGAATGCTAAAGAATGCCCTCCTTAAGGTGTATGTAAACAACCAAATGCAGGTTTAGCTGTGTTAGGAGTTTGCCTATCTAGGCTATCTTCAATTTAGGATGATTTAGGCAATATAAGGCAAAACAGGAATCATTAGCAGTGAAGATGTTCTGTATCAGTACAGGCTAGCAACAGAGCACAAGCCCACCTAGAAAATTCCAATACTTCGGCTACCACCACGAGGGGAAGCCTGTCATGTCTTCACTGCTTTGGTTCCTTGAAATGGTTAGACTACAGCTAGTGTGGACAGGCTGCTCTCACTTCCCAGCCTCTGCCAATTCTTTTGCCCATCTTCTCCTTGGCTGTTTCCTTGGCCTGGCACTCATGCAGTTCCCATGCAAGGCTCCCGTGTGAGAGATGACTCTTGCTTTGTATAACCTCTCCTTTGGAAAAGCAGGTAATATGAGTGTGGGGGCAGGACAGAAATGTCTTTGAGACCCTCTGACAGAGCATCAGCTTGAGGTGCCAAAGATGAGAAAGTAATAGATTATATCCTGGAACAGACTGCCCTATCACAACTGGATGAGCAACCACCACGGGATATACTTATTTGCAAGGGGGAATAGGTATGCCAAAACACTGCAACTGTTGAGAGGTTTAAGTTTCTTCATGGTCCAGGCAGGAGTCAGGAATTTACACTTTTTTGCTGTTGAACCCATTAGTGTGACTCTTGGTGGCTGGTCAAAGGGATCAGCCTAGAAGGTGGAAAGTACTGCACTCCATACGTACCTCATGATGCTCCAACTTGTATTGCTGCATGCTTTGGTGACAAAGATTACATCTGACCTGCAAGCAAAACATACACCAGTTCACTGGGAGCATAGGATGATGGTTAGTGCTTTCATATGTCAATACAGCTTCAAGCTGCTGACATGATCTTCCTGTCATTTTCATCCCAATCATCCACAAGCTGGTGGTGAATTTTTTTTTCTCTGTGAGGCCTGAGCTGTGTTGATGAGATTTTGAGGAAAACAGATATCTGATGATTCCACAGGAAGCTGTCGTTCTGTGCAGGGATCCAGTTCTCAAAGGAGCCCATGTGAAATGCAAAGTGTGATGTGAAATAAAGAGCGTGTATTCAAATTTTTGACTGAGGTTTAACTTAAAAGTATAGGTCTGGTATTCAGCTAGTCTAAATTATAATAGCCTCTCTGAAAAAATAGGAGGTATGCTCATTTTCTATAGGCTTGCCATGAGAGCTACTCGTGTTCTGTTAAATAACTCAAATCAATGGAATCACTAAAACAATGAAAGCAGTAAAACAGACTAAAAAGTCACACCTGTGTATTCATGCTTCAACATAGTACCTCTAGCTACAGGGTTCTTAATGCTATACTGAAAATGCTATTGCCTCACTATATGAAGACCTGATAAAATTACTCTACCAGTCCAGTTTTGTTAAAAATGTGCATTGAAGTAATAGCTTTGTACAAGCAAGGTTTATGTCAGATCAGGTACTGTCCATCTTCCTCTAATCAAATCATTTAACTTGTATGCTCTCGCTAATTCACAAGCACTAGGAGCGTGTATCCATACTTGATCTGTAATTTCTATTTCTGAGGAAACTGAGATACCACAGTGGAAGCTTTAGTCTCTTAGGACGAGTGTGCGATAAGATCAAAAGGTGCTGTAACCAGGCGGGAAGGGTCATATCAGACCTGTACAGATTTTCTGGTCAAACAATTACAGAAGTCCAAATCTAGTTAATATAGAGCACATACCATGAATATACGTTGTAGTTTAACCCCAGCCAGCAACTAGAACCCTGCAGCCACTCACTCACCCCCACCTCCTTTTCACCCCACCAAGAAGGGTGGGGGGAAATAAGGAAAAAAAAAGAGGGGAAAGGGAGAAAAAAACCCTGGTGGGTTGAGATTAAGACAGTTTAACAGAAATAATAACAGAAAAGGAAAAATAGCAATAATAATAATTACATGGGTCACTCTGGTGAATTGGCACCCTCCTGAGCAGTGATTGCGGATTCCTGCCCCCGGCTAACCCCCAGATATATATAGTGAGCATGACAGCTATGGTATGGAATATTTCATTGGCCATTCCATCATTCTGCCTATTCCTCTATGGGAAGCTGAAAAAAAGTCCTTGAACAGTGTAAATATCACTTAGCAACAACTAAAAACAATAGGTATTATTGACATTCTTTTCACAGCAATCATTAGAAAGAAAATTAACTCTTTTCCAGCTGAAACCAAGACAACATACCACTTCAGCACTGGCAGAGCTTTTTGCTATTTTCAAGGAAACCCTGAAGAACAAGTCGCATTCCTCACCTGCTTATGTGCTTCTGTCTGATGGTCTTTCATATCCTTTTGGGCAACTGGTTCATCACATTCTGGACAGAGAGTGAGAAACCGCAAGCAGTGGGCCTCATGGAGGGAGAAATTGGCAGCAGACACATCTCGTTTACTACAGAGCATATAAATGGAAAAGAGAGATGAGTAAATGAGCTGGTGTGGTGGGTTGACCCTGGCCAGCAGCAAAGCACCACACAACTGCTCACTCACCACCCCACCACACACACAGTGGGATGGGACAGGGCGGGAAATAGGAAGAACAGAAGTGAGAAAACTTGTAGGTTGAGTTGTAGGTTGAGATAAAGACAGTTTAATACTTGAAGGGAAGGCGGGGGGGG